TTGTGGATCTTCCAGTTTTAAAATCTCATCTCCAATCCCAAATGCATAATAAACCCCTACATGCCTGTCCCCAGCCTCACACGCACCAAATCTGAATAGGGTGGCAAGGAAATCCTAGTAACTGTAGCTTTAAAAGAAATGGCTCCTATGGCAAAGAAGTCATTTGGCTGGTAAAGCTGGTGATTTTGTTCTCTAGGTGGCACTATTACTTCAATTTTTGATAAGTTGCTTAAGTTTCTTGAAAACACCAGTTTTACTTGCTTTTGGTTTCATTATATAAATCTTAATTTTATACACACTAGCTGTAATTAAATGACAGGTTGTCTTCTGGTTTTATTTTAATAAGTCAGTTTGAAGTTAAGTGCTTTTTTAATCATATAATTTTATATTTCCTAGTTATATTGTCTTGGAATTAAGGAATCTTTCTTTGCCGGCCTTCCTCCCTCTAAATACGCAAAGGCATGTCAAAAACACAGAAGGTGGTCATAAAGCTTCAGTCAGACCAAAGGAATGAAGATTAAAGCACATTTAAGAGCTACTAGGTTCTGTGAGCTTTCAAAATCAGGACATTACTACCATGACAACCAATGAAAAGTCCTTTCAAGTGAACCTTTGGGGAAAACTGCGTAACATTCGTTACTCTCTGGGCTCTTTGGAAATAAACTTGTGCTTTATTATGGCTGTCACTGAAGCTTGTAAATTTACTCTGTTTCTGCCTACTCACTCTCCTGGTCCCATACTCGGCCCCTCAATTCATTTAATGGAACCCATCCTCAAACTTCAGACACTGTATAAAATGAGACATCAGGGCAACAAGCCTATTTGGTCAGATTTGTTTCACCAAGAGCATAAGTGTCCCAGAGTTTGAACTTGAATTTGAGTACGCACATTTAAATAAAAGCGTCTGTGCTTCTTATCTGACCACATACACATGCTTTTCTATGGAAGTAAGAACAGCTTCCTGTTCCACTTAGGGAACACACCCACTTACCATTCCTGTACCCCAAAAAGTTTTTCAAAGTCAATATATTAATGAGCGTCATTGTTTTAAGTCTGTCATCAGAATGATTCCATATATTTAATAATTCGGTACATGACTTTCCTAAAGCTTTAGGTTTAAGTGATCTGGAAAGCCAGAGGTAAGTTTAAGTATAAAATTATTTAGGACTGAACAATTCTATGCCTTAAGTGGAAGTTTAAAGGGACTATGAGGACACATATGCCTAGCCTTAAAAATACCAAAGCTTTCCTCTGTTTCCTAGGGTTAAAATCCACGTACACAAGACATACGGATTTCATTTGCCAACATCATTTATTGCTTAACATTACTCCACACTGAACAGAGTAAATGGATGCAGAGGGTAACCAGTAAGTTTGCTCATTCACCTTTGAAGCCCATGTGGGTATGTTATTTACCCTAGTAGAGAAAATTTATCACAACCCAACTTAATGTGATTCTTGTTCAAAAGACTTCTTCCTCCACTGAACAGCGAGCATTTAAACCTAAAATTCCCCTGAATTCTCTTCTCCATTCCTCTTTAAAATGCAATTCACAGCTTGAGATTACAGAGCCTGCCAGGGGCTGAATGGCTGCTCTAGAAGGCTGAGAGTCCTTCAATTAAGCAGCAATTTTGCAATTAGTGGAAACTGAGTGCTCCATAACAATCATTTGAAAACAAGTTGAGAAAAGTTAGCAATTACCCTATTAAAGGGACATATTCACTTGCATTTGGCTGGGCTGGCCCCCTCACACAAATTACAATCTTCTATACAAGGAGAAGCCCATCGAAAATGGTTTCAACCATTAAAATAAATTCGATATTATGAACATCGAAATGGGAGTGCCTTTCATTTTAAAAGATATTCAGAGTTTAGCTGTCATACACTTTCCATGCTATTTCCATTCACGACGTCTCAAGTTGTTCTCTCTACTATGGGACTAACTTCCTAAATCTTAAAATGTTAATGAACTGCATGCGTACGACCTTTCCTTTGTGCACATCTTCAATATTCTTGAAGCTTAGTAGAAGATCAAGTCCATGATTGAGACCCAAAGCTGCTGGCTGTTACATTCCACAAGTTCACTACCTGGATATAGAATATAGAGCTCTGTGTGTTGTGTGTGTGTGTGAAGGGGGGCGGGTGGTGGATATTTACAGAACGTTTTAAAAATGAAGGCAAAAAAAAAAAAAAAAGTTAACAGCTCTTTGCTATTATCAGATAGGCGTGCCCAGCTTGCTGTGTGTCCTGAGCTACAAACCAGAGCTATTTATGTTTGAAAGAAATGAGATTATCAATCATCTGCATTTTGACTTACTGAAGAGTAAGATTCCAGGAAGAAGGGAATACCTTACATTCTAATGGTGCCCCTAGGAAACAGAAAACCGAAAAAGACTTTAAGCCAGGATTTTAGAAATTTGCATTTACAGGATTTCCCTGCTCCTGATCATCCAAAACGAACCAGCTATATTACAGCATCTCCCCACCCCACTTTGGCCATTGTGAGATCTAGACTATTAATTCACCTAGTACAAATGAATCATTTGCTTTTTAGGCAAATGATCATTTTCTTAGTTCCTCTTGATCGAAACTAACAGTTACACTTATTGAGAAGACATCCCCTCCCCAAAAGAGATTTCCTTGATGCTTTATTTTGTGGATATTCAAATGTTGACCTAATTTATATCTTAAGTGACCTTAAAATAAACAAGATTTCCAGTTACTAATTCAGTCCTGAATAGGCTATGAATGGCTCCAAAGGTATGTGAAAAATAACATTGTTATTTTGGTTTTTAAAAAATGTGATGTCTAAGTGTGTATGCAATGTTCTAAGGGTTCAAAACATGTACGTAAGTCTTGTTTATCTGGAAATCATTTCTTTCTGCTTATAAAATTTATAAATAGAAAACATTCTGTAATAACTTAAAATAGCCCTACCTAGATAACAATTCTCCTATCAAAATACTTATTACCGGTCTGTATTTACCAACATTTATCACATTTTGCAAAATAACGTAGAAGAAAAAAGACAACGACTTTATTGCCCTGGAATTCCAGTAATGGTGACCAACGTGTTTTAAATTCCAGTGAAAGTCATGGTTACATTTCAACAAGTGTCTCCTCCTTTCTCTTACCTCTGCTGCTAGTCCAGAGGTAAACTTACAAAAGAAAAATGTTAAGCAAGGTGTTTGCAAAATCAGAAAATAGGAATTAGTGACTGTTTTAAAGGGAGGCTGGTCCCAGGGCCAAAATTTTGCAATCTCTAAGTGCAATGTGTGATGATCTATTACATGTAACAACATGGAGCACTACATGGTCAGAAACTTCAACTTAAAAATGACAGTGCTGCAGGAGGTAAACGTTGAGGGTTCCTGTGTTTAGAAGAATTAAGTCTGTAATTACACTTCAATAAATAAAAATGTAAAAAATGTATACAATTTTAAGACTAAAATAGCTTTTGATCTTATAATAAACATATACACAAATAGGTTTTGGGATAAAAATAGAGAAGAGATATATTCCAAGAAGTCAAACCCGTTTGAAAGTCTTATTTAACAGAATAACACGTTTTATATACAGTTTTTAAAAAGTTCCCAATTAGATACTGGTTTGGTTTAAAAGATAACTGTACTAGGGGAATTAATAAACACTCGGAAAAATTATTTTCTTTGCTTCTGGCCAAGAACATTCCTGCATTCTTGTAAAAAAAAAAAAATATTCATTGGCTACTGCTGACATTGAAGAGTAAGTATAAGATACCTGAAGCACCCTAAAATAAGATCGAGGAAGAGCTAACACACCACCAACCATAGCCCATCATAACTCCGCCAGCACGAGGAAAACTTGCATTGGAGCCAAAGAGGGGCAACCAGTCAAAATACATCCGAGTCGGGAGTCTGAGCATCATTCAACAAGTCCCTCCTACCAGCTCCCGAGGGATCCCGAAAAGCCATCCCTTACCACTTCCCCACCCCCAGCCTCCCGGCCCCAGCAGCTGCTCTGGGTAGGTTGGCCGGCAGAGGGCACCCTCTACCTTCCCTAGCACCAATCTCCCTGCCCCACTCCTCCTCGCCCCCCAATCCCTGGCCCTCCACCCCGCTCCACCCCCAGCATTCAAACACAGCATCCTCCGACCACGACTCCAGTTTACTCCAGCAGCCCGAGGCTTTTCTCCCGTGGGGGAGCCCCTACTCTGCGGTTTCCCTAATCACCCCGTCGGGCATATACCCCCCATCCTCAACTCTTTCTTTCCACGCACAGCTCACCCATTCTTTTTCCCAGGCTTTGCATCCCCAGGGACCCACGCGAGTCAGGACACCCCACCCTGCCCCCGAAAGTTAAAACTTCTGTACTTCCCTAGAAGGTGCCCCAAGGGAGGGGCGCGGGATGGGGAGAGGTGTGGGCGCAGCTAGCTCCTTGCAGGTCCGAGCTGCAGGAGTGTGTCAAGTTTTCCAAGATATATTGGCAATGGACCTGTGTAAGTCCGCAGGTGATCGAGTGCGCCCAGCCGGAGCCCCGAGGGTGCGGTGGTGTGGGCTGAAGGATCAAGACCCCCTCCCCTCCACCCCCAATCTGCGCGGGGATCGCCCAGCCCAGAGGAAAGATTCCTATCCTAGCTCGGATACAGTCACCGCAGTCAGGGCCCCCGACAGCTGGCGCCCTAAATCTCTCTCACGACCCCGCCTCTGCAAGGGCAGGGTTTCGGGGGCTCGCCAGGGCGCCGTCTCCGTTCACACCACCCGCTCCGCGTCTCCTCTAGGCTTTTTCTCCCCTACTTCAGGGCTGCCCAGGGTCCCTCTCCCTCGGAGGTCCTGGCTGCCCTCTGGATCGCGGGATGCGAGGAGAAGGGTCCGCCAGAGCAACTCCAAGTCCCCCTTCCTCCTGGAGGGGAGGAAAGGCGTTCCGACCGCTTCCCACAACTTCAGGGCCCCCCCTCCAGCCAACTTTCCCCCGCGGACGGGCGGCTCCCGCGCCAAGCCCCACGCCTGCTGCTCGCCTACCTCGGGGTCCACACAAAGCTCACGGGTCCCCGGCGGAGGAGTCACATCGTTAGCTCGCTCCCGGCCCCTGCGCCCAGCCCCGATCCCCGTCGCGGAGCCGCTGGCCGCCGGCCCCACAGCAGCGGTGGCAACTGCGGTTCAGGCGTCTCATCAAAGCTCCCCGAGGAGGAAGCGGGGGGCCCGCCGGGCCGGCTCGTCGGCCCCGCCCGGGAGCCCGCGGCGCGACGGGGGACGCGGGACGGCGAGCCGGCGGGTGCGCCCGGGCGCGGCGGCGGCAGCGGCGGCGGCGGGGACCGGGAGCTCCAGCCTGCGCCTCGAGCTCGGGTCAGACATTATTTAGCTCTTCGGTTGAGCTTCGATTGGTCAAACGGCGCCGCCCCCCGCCCCCCTCCCTCGGCTCGCCCGCGCCACCGATACCCGTGCGGGGCGGCCGCTTAAAGGGAACGCCGCGCCTTTTCCTAGCTCCGCTCAGCCCCCGGGACTCCGGGACTCCCCGGGCCTGCGCGCCCCTCGCTCCCAGTCCCTGGGGCCCCGCGACACGGCCCCGCAAACCTCGCGCCCGTCCTGGGCGCCTGGGCAGGACTCACGCGCCGCGTCCGCCGCTTCGAGGGGCGACCTACCCCCGCCCGGGGGAACCCCACGTCCGCGCCCTCTGCGGAAACCCCGGCTGGCGGGAAGGAGCCAGAAGAAATCGGGCGTCCCTGGGGTCTTGCTCCCCTTCCTGGCAACTCCCTCGGCCCCATCCCAGCACTCAAGTTCTGCGGGAGAGGGCGTGCGTTTTCCCGGCCACCAGACACACCTTCCCGCACCTTCCCGCACGACGGAGCTGCAAACGCGAGCACACAATGAAATTGCACGGAGCATGGGGGCTATTGGTTTACTCCGCTGTCTTAAACACTCCGGCTTAAACAGAGTTCGTGCACTGACCTCTCCAGAGTTTGCCTAATAGGAATTCAATCAAGATAATAACGGCATTTTTTATTAATGAACGCCCCCAGATAACGTTACACCAAGTTACTTGCTCCAGCCAGGAAGCCGAGGCAATGACAGACCTCACTAAAGCCACACGCTTTCTAGCAGACCAGAGAAAAACGGAAAGAGAAAGAAAGAAAAGAAACCCACCTTTTCAGTCACTACTTGTCAAAGTAAACATCAAGGCAGCTGCTCTGGGGAAGACTTCGGCCCCAAAACTCCCAGACTCTATTATTTTTTTCACGTTCCCTTTGGTTAAAAAGAAGTAGGGGGGGGGTGCGAGTCTTTGGTGCCTGGTATGTACTCCTTCTGTTCTGCAGCAAAGAAGTTAAATTATTGATAGTGGAAATTGCATGGCGGAGGTAATACTCGCACCCCCTGAGCTAGGAGCTCCATTTGATCTCGGCAGGGGCAGGGAGATTTCATGCTAGCTCGCCAGGGGGAGCGGCAGCGCGAGCAGCCCTCTCCGCGGTGAATGGGAAAGTGGGTGGGAGTCCACGAGAGGGCTCCACGGTGCCTTGACGTGCGGTGTCATATGATACCTCCGCTGCCTCGAAATAGACACTCTAGTGCACGAATTACCAGAATCAAAATTCAGCGCATTTAAAATGATACATCTTTTATTAGAAGAGTTCCGTTCCAGGGCATTGCATGGTTTTGCAGATGTTTTCACTTCCCTCCCTAACAAACTTACACACATAAACCAATCCTTTTAATAATGAACCTGGGCAGCAAAGATAAATAAAAAGCCATCTGTTTTTTACCTACGTGTGTGGGGGTGGGGGTGGCAATTGGCTCAATTAATCCTCCCCTCGCGCCCCTCCCCCACCCAGCGAAGAGCAAACAGACTTTAAGGTGCTGGTAGCCAAGAACCTTCGAGACAACTGAAGTGGCTAGGGTCCTGAGGAGTATTGTCAGTTTGCCATTGGACGAACGCTATTACCCGTCTACCTAGGTTCCTGCTTTAAATAAGCTGATTTTAGTTCCCATTAGTTCAAACGATTCGTACGCTACTGGGAAAGACCTTAACATACAGAAAAAGGAACAAGACAGCAGTACTTAATTTGTAGTCCTTGGACCTCCCGCAAGCGTACCAGTGTCATCTGGGTGCCTACTAAAAAGCAGATTTCTCCTCCAGAATTTGTGATTTAGTAGGGCTGGGGCAGGGTCCAGGGATTAGCGCTTTAACAAGCGCCTCAGGCAATTCGGATGCAGAAAGTCTGAGGTCACAACCTGAGAAACACTTTCTTAAGAGATGCATAAAAGGGTGTCAGAGGAATCTCCCATCCACACCACCCCAAATTTGGTGGGCAGTTTTATTTGTATGTGCAGTTTTCTGTAATCTCATAGGGGTTTGACCTAATAATTGCTAAGACTCATTGCTGTAAGAATTTCCTTAAACACTCCAACATTAATTTGGGGAAAGGGTAAGATTTATAAACAGTTTTCTTTCCTGGACCCTCTTGTGGTTATCAAGAATGTGCTGGTTGAACTGTGTATATAATACTATTATATACTCGGTTCAGTGTATCTAAGGGTTTACAGTTAACAAAATGTACATGTATATTAGCTGTTTAAGAGCTTGTAAAAACTAGTGAAAGAAATTATTATTATTTTATAAAGAACCTGAGACTCAGTGCCACGAAATAATTTGCCCAAGTTCACGCAGCTAAATGCCAGAGACAAAACTTGAATGAACTCAGGAACTCTAACAAGAAATATCCCTGCCTCTCCCCACCTCCATGTAAACAAAGCTATCTGTTCTTTGGAAGTGTTATCCGGAAGGATTTTGCAAATTGTTGGCTGAATAGTCAAATTGTTCAAAAATATGCATATTCTTAGAGTGTCACACATTTAGCTTACACCTCTATCAACTTGACAGAACACATGACCGATACAAACTACCCTAGAGCACAGAGGATGAAGTTTATTGTGTAATATTTAATGCATTTGAAACATGCAGGCTAGACCTGCAGCAATAAAGGATGGAGGGCATGAAGCTGGGCTTGGCCACCTCAAAGTACCTCTGTATTGATACCCAGGGGTGTAGCCCGAATGCAGATAAAATTTCTTTTAATACTGCAAAACCATTAAGAGGCTAGATTTATAAATTTAAACACACACACACACACACACACACACACCCCACACACGAAATCTTGTTACTATTTTATAAAGTACTGGAAGAGCCCTGCCCTAAACTTCTCTTTTTTAAAATAACGTTATGCAAACTTCAAATTCATGCTTACTTTTCAACTTTAAATTTGCTCAAAAACGAGCTATTTCCTTACGTTTTTAAGCTCAATTGTAAATTACTTCCTCTGGGAAAAATACCTACCAAGTGAAGAGTCAAGAATTTTATTCTCAGTGCTGCCCAGAGATTATGGCAAATCTACCTGCTAAATTCACATTGCCATATCAGCATTTTGCTGAAGGAAAAAGTGTTCTCCTTTATCAGACTGATTATGTCTGTGGCCAGTCTTCTTATTCCTACTCTCCCTTGAATAAATAAATGTTTGTATCTCTGCCTTCCAGTGTGTGGTGCAGTTTTACTGAGAAAAAGACAGAGGAGTCAGAAATGGCAGGACTATTTCAAAATAAAAGAAGACCAAATGCCAATTCAGATAAACCCTTTGATGAATCAGACCTCTTGACATTTCTGAGCATTTTGAAACTTTCTGATCTGTGATTATAGTTTTACCAAAACAGTAAAAGATCAGACTTATGATACTGGCTTATTTGCCTTAAAAGTACACCTTACCTTCAGAAACAATGAAACTAAGATAAACTAAAGTTGTACTGATGCCTTGCATGGAATTTTGAATAAATTTTATCTTTGTTTAGTTCAGGTAGCATATGGCAACAGTGTTAGAAGTCTAAGACAAAACTTTTTACAAAATTATTTTCCTATTATGATCAGGGATGATGCTGAGAATATAGAGCACACATGTCTGATTCTCCCTAAAGATTAGTCTCTCACAGGATTGATATGTTAGAAACAAAGTTTCCAAGTTTATGATCTGAACTTTTCTCAATCACCGAAAGGAGAAAAATCTTTACCGTTTGAAAAGAAAACGTTTCCTATTTCATTTTTGCGGGGTTTAAAAATTAAATTTGAATTAGTCAAAATCTTTATTTATTTTTGGTTATGGGCTAAATCTATTCTAACCCAATGTTCTAGAAGGACAAAGGTCAAGAAGGAGAAGAAATGTGAATTCCTATCTACTCTTGTCAGGAAACATAAACTAATCCTCATTACTCAAGTGGGAACAGAGGCAGTAGGCTCAGATTTGACATTGACATATTTTTTCTATTAATAATTTTAATTGGCTGAGGTAAATTCTACTATCATTACAAGCATTGTATGTTTAATTATGTTTATTTAAGGTTCCTAGTTACTCCTGCCTTCAATCCTCCTTGCAAAAAAAAAAAATAGTTGTCTAGAATCAAATGAACTGACCTCAAAAACTGCTGAAAATCTTGTAATTAGCACAGGGAAAATAATAAGTAAACAGAAAACTCTCCTGCTTAGCAGAGTGGCAAAGGTATTTTCAAAGTAATGCTGTATGAATTCAAAGGCCCAATCCAGCATTGAACTATGTCACTAATAATCCTACAAATTATTAAGTAAGGCCTGTCCTGAGAAAAATCTTACAGGAGAAATAATATCCCTGTTCATTAGATGATACCTTAATATGAGGTATACTTCTCTGTAAGCTTTTTATGAACCAGAGGAATAGCTCTATGCCATAATCAGATGTGTCCAAATTGGTCGACACCTGTTAAAAGAATTATGTAACCAGGCATGGCCATTAGTGGCAAACAAACAAATGAAAGGAACCACAGTATGAAAATGTTAGAAGGGCCAAAATTAGGAGAATAGAACAAGAAGGTCAAAAAACGATCCCATCTGGGAATAATATTTAGTTGGATCAAGAAAAACAACACCAAAACCATTAGGAAAAAAATGAGACTAACCCCTTAAACATATGAGAGTCATCAACTTGTAACCTTCTGAGTTACCAGATTTTCTCGGAAAACATTTGAAAATGAATAGTGAAGAATAAATTGGGTCACTCATTGTAACTTTTCTGTAAGCACAGTCAAAAGGGATGTGATTGTAGACTTAGAACAGTTAGAACTGACAGTGATAGCTGCCTG